ATATTTGTAGATATATATATGTATATGTATATATATGTATATAATTATATACATATACATATAGTTATATACATATATTTATATACATATAATTATATACGTATGTATATATATATATATATATATTCATACATATATATAATTACATACATATACATATATATCTATTTATATATACTCATATTGTGACATTTATATACATCTTTATAGGCACATACAAGTATCTATATATTGAAGTGCAATTTTATATACATATTGATATATGTATACAATGTATGTAGACACCTAGGTACCAATATATATTCATAAAGCACCACATTTTATACGTATGGAATTAATATGTATTAAATTGTTTTTAGTGTTGAGATATTCATCTGATCATGATTCTAGAGTGTTGCAGACCTAGTTCATTTGGCAATCGTGCTAGGAAGTGATTCTGTCTCTATGCCAATCTGACAGTCTCGTAGTACGTGTTATATATCACTTCAGCCTGTTATAAAATGTCAACCCGTTTAGTATATATACGCGGCCATTTAGGTATCACTATTGCTTTCTAATTCGTTCATTTTATTCTTCGCAGATAAAGGAAGAGCTCGATTCGGATGATGTCAAGGTACGCACAGAATTCGTGCGTTGAATCAGCATCGATGCATACTGTGAATTTTTGTTGTTGGTATATCTACAAATTCTTTGCTAATTTCTCTACTTTTCAGCGTATCTGGTTACATTGTATACGAGATCATTTGACGCACAATTGTAATTCCGCTATGCAGTCCGCCGGCGGAATGCTGTAGCTTGATTGGGGCACAACCACCTACATATCGAACTGTGTATGTGTATATCCTCTGACTAAATTGTACTGCTACATTCTCACTCACATTCTAGGAAGACCGCCGTCGACTGCGTGTTGTCGAAAAACGCATCCGCACACCCATCGAGGGACACGTGACCTTCTCCATAGAGAAACGTGAGATGGAGCGCAAGAAAATTGAAGCCCAAATCCTGCGCCCCTCCAAGGTTACGCGGCGCGTGAGGCGAATGCAGTCGCGTGAGGAGCGTAAGGGGGTGCAAGAAAGGAGGACCCCACTGGGATCAGGCTCGTTTGCGTTGGGGTCGGACGAGTATATAACTTTGCAAACGGCGGAGTACGTGCATGCGGTAGGTTCATTGCTGGTCTTCGCTTAAATGTATTATGTTGGTGTTTCAAGTGGCCCGATTTGCTCGGTCATACAGGGTGTATGTACCTGCTTACCTATCAAAGCGTAAGGTGGTGGTGGTAACACATTTGCGATGTTGATTGGGTTTGCCGCTGTATTGGTGATATGCCACCTGTATTGCCATTTGAGACTTGGGCTTATCTCCATGTTTCTGCTGTGTTCAACGGGCACAGAAATCATGCTAAACTCGAACTTTGTGTGTATGATATGACTTTTGAATTTGGTCACTCGCAAGCTTCAGGTGTTGTAGAGCGACACCGCTTGCAAGAGTGTAAATAAGAATCATAAACGAATCTCTCACCCGGGTTCACCTCTTCACCTCCTTACATCTTGTATTCGTCCAAGTGCATAGATTATACTGTAGCAGAGTAAGGTACCACGTGTAAACTTTCTGAGTGGGCGAATGAAGCTGTATGAAGCCTGTAGACTTGTATCAAGGGGTGGGGTTTCTTCATAACCTGTCGTGGTGTATGTGTCTTACTGATTACCTTCTGCGCTTCTCTATATTAGTTCGAGGCCCACACGGGGGAGAAGAGGCCAGCTCGACTGACGCCAATACCACTGCTGGAGTAAATCTTCGGCAGTAGAGGATCGACGTACACAGAAACATACAGACGTGTGCGCACCCTGCAGATTCGGTAAAATTTCTTGACCAATTAACAGAGCCGCCGCTTCAGAAATTGCCAGGGGTCTTCGGAGACTAAATATATAACGCCCGGGCCAGCAATGCTCGCAGCGAAGTCTGCGACGCGTATAGAGACATTGTTGTGTGCACTAGAGTGTGGTACCGCAAAGTTGTCATAGTGGGTTCGGGATCATTTCATATAATCATATATAGTTTTTACAATTAATTAATTAGCAAGTGTCAATCGTCTCCAGTGTTGAGGGATTGGATATTAAGAGTGGGTGACTACCACCGTCAGATCCGTTGGGGTTGAATTTACAAGTATATATAAAGCCACTTACCGAGCATTGAAGTGGCTCCACAGTCGAATACATAAGGGACCGTGTTCCTATGCAATAAAGTAATTTTTGAATGATTTTACGAGACTAATTGGTAGAGTCCGTGTATAATATAGATTTATCTGAATTGTACTCAATACTGCTATTGCGCTGCAATCACGCTTCAATAACGTTTTATAGTCTATTCACCATACTGAGTTTCTTGACACCGGTGAGATTTCGTGACTTGCTGATATGTCGGCCCGAAATAGAAAAATGAAACTCATCCGGTTTGCACCCAGGTGCAGTAAACGTTTAACGCATATGCAAATATGATTGAATACATACATGACCCTCTGGAGGGCGGGAAAATCTCTCTCTCTCTTCCAGAGAGTTATGTTGAATATCACGTACGGTTTCCGATGGTGCTTTTTTTTAGCAGAGTGCAGAGTTGCAGACTGCCGAGGACCGATGTAAATATAAAATATTTCTCTCTCAATTCTCTTGACTCATTCCTGGTGTCATATTTTTTTTTATAAAGTCACAACGGGGGTCTGGGCCTCTGGGGATTGGGGCCTGAGGCGGCTGGGGGTCTGGAATGCGCACGGAATTTCAATATTGTACAAATATTTAGATCGTCAGTGAAGATTGTATGCTGATAATAAACACTCTATGAGTTCTTCATAGTACATATCCGGCGCACGTGCATTGTGGACAGTTCAGAGTTGCGGGTCAAAACACGTTACAAAACACGTTACGAATCATGTATATGAACGGTAGAGCTTTATTATTAACATAACAAGTATGCATGCATAAAGTTCAATCGCAAAACGCATCGTATAATTCTGCATATATGATTCGATTGCATTGCACGGAGTAGCAGCAGAGTCACTGTAGGCTTCATGAACGAATCCGCTACAGCTAATATGGATGTGGACATGGATATCGATTTGAACGTCAGTCCCACTCAATTGCTCAGCATTTCACATACCACACTGTCCATAGTAACGGGCTATATAATTCCTGTGATTGGGTAAGTTCACTGTGGTGTGTATGAATGGAAACGAGGTTGAGTGTCATAGCTAGTGGAGTTTTTTATAGTTATAGCTTTTTTCATGGAAATGAAGTGTACTGCAGTCTTCAAGGAAGAAATGGCCACAGCCGACATATAAGTGGAGAGATGTATGTGGAATCATTTGCCGGGTCTACTCCATTTCTTAGTATATCACACACCACACTGACTACAGTAGTTAGGAATGTACGTTACCATGGCTATATAGTACTTGTGATGGACAAGTTCAGATGCTGCATACGATGGGGCAAGAGGACATTGCACCCAGTGTATGCCTTAGTAGTACGTACAAGAGGCTAAGTGCTTCATAGAAAGTGCGCTATGGACAGTTGACATTCGAGTATGTTAGGCGGTTGCTGCTCCAATCGGACCAACAGAGATACAGTAGATACCAGCTCTACCCTGTACTTAGCAAGATGTGAAACAATAGGTGTGATGAACTAGTTGATGCACATGGTTGTCTAGTTTGTATAAGCGGATCCTACGCAATAGCTGTCAGTATAAGTTATGTACCGTGGATGGTATGTTGTATCTGCGGGCGTGTTATATTTCCCTAGAGAAGATGGTGCGCACATAAAACTATATACACATGAGGCCATGCACACATAGAGCTATACACACATATGACTATACACATATCAAGATATATACCCTTAAGGCCATGCACACATAGAGCTATATACGCATATGGCTATACACATATCAAGATATATACCCATGACGCCATGCACGCATTAAACTATACACACATAGGCCTATACATATATCAAGATGTATACGCATAAGGTCATGCACACATAAAGCTATATACACATAAAGCGATACATATCTAGATATATACACATAAGGCCATGCACGCATAAAGCTATACACACGTATGGCTATGTACATATCAAGATATACACACATAAGGTCGCATACACATAGAGCTATACACTCATAAGGCTACACCCGCATACAGTGTAGCGTACACACATAAGCTGTTAACGAATGGAGTGCGCCCGTGGAGGCATTTTCGCACTCATCTCCGCGTTCTCTTTGTCACTCGGCAGGCTGCTGAGTTGTCTTATTTACGTCTCAGTGTACGAGTTTGAGGATGTCAACGATACACACTGCAAGGTATGGCTGGAACACTCACTCATCGTACGTGTTAGGCCCAGGCCTTTTTCGTTAGTTCGGAGATCTGATTTCTAGTAGCATCTCTGACTATGTTAACGTATTGGGCCTACCACAATACACTAAGCAGACAACCCTCTGCCATGACAGGTGGCCAATGTACTCCCGTCGCTCAGCTCAGTGATTGGTAACTACCCCACCGTACGGTATATCTGGACCTTCTGTCTGTTGATAGGCATGCCCACCCGTGTTATTGACAGCGTTGCGTACTACAACTACTTCCGGGTATGTGATCGCAATGGTACCTGCACGCGTTGTATTAGGTCGGATGGGCTATGGAAGCGCCAATACATCACAAGAATAACATCTCTGCTCAAACACGAGCAGGCCGGTTCAATCAACACATTCATAACTGTGGGTTTAATTAACAACCGCTTTTTGCACATACGCCCCAGCAAGGTATCTTATCAAGACGGTGTCACGCGGTGCTGTAGCTCACGCATACAGCTGGTGTGCACGTAGAGCTTCTGAACTAACTATCTGGCAATTTCCTCAAACGTATCAGGAGTGTATAGGGGAAACCCACATGCTAGCGTGTCTGGCAACTCTGGTGTTGCTGACAGTCGAGAACTTCGGACTCTCCGTTTTAACCGTCATCCCCTCTGGCGAAAACCACACGTTGCATGCGTACGGATTCGGCATGTTCTTGTGCGGCGGTGTGGTATGTGTCATAGTCTTCTTCGCGTGCAGCAGTTTCAAGAGTGCTTGTAAGTGTGTATGCCAACACGGAGCGGTGCCCCAAGTAGAGAGAAGGTGATGTTACGTTTCCGATGCGAACTCTATATTTGAGTGGTTGCAGGCGCAATAAGTTGGTGTATTCGGAAGCGACGGCGCGGTGGACAAGATAATCTACTTCAAGTGGATAGGCTGCAGATGTGCTTGCATTCGTATAATGTATTGGGAAGGGATTCATTGTGGTGCCAAGTGTATGATTAACGGAGCTGGCATGTACCCATACGACGGTATAGCAAGTGACTTGCGCTGTGCTAAGCGAAACAGCCTCAGGAGTGTGTGCATTCGTACATTCGTACATATCGCTGCGTAGTGGCGCCTACGTGCAGAAATGATTAGAGAGGCTTTGTGTACTTCCAGGTGTATAGCTGCGTACCTTCATGCATGGACTGGAGGCAATTGTTTGGGATTCAATTGGCAAGTGCCAATCCCTTCATTGTAGTAAAGGGGCCTTCTTGAACTGCGGGCCATCTGCGGAAGCTGTCAGTTTGGTGTCATGTAGGGTTGTACATAAAGAGACCGATTGTTATATTGAGGCGGAGCGTGTGTATGCACATGGTTCATTAAACATTGTGTGATACTGATGAAGCCAAACATATTGTCACACGGGCAAATCAATTCGGGTTCATCCTGAGTCTTATCACAGACAGGCTACTTCTATTATACCTGTTCCACCGACATGATGTTAACATCGTTTGTGCACCCGCTTGTACAATCCTATACAGCTGGCTATGGCCACCGTCGCCTATCTCTTCAGTGCGCTGCAAGACTCTACGAATGCGAATATGAGTCCACGGCCGATCTCGCTCAAGTGGAAACGCATATGCTTGACACTCAATCTGTGTGCCATTGCAACGAGCATGTACTTCTATTGGAGGCACAACAAGTACTGCGAACCCTACGGTAAGTGGAGCTATTAGCCTATATGCGCAAGAGACTTAATCAAACAGGAATAGATACTGTACTCGTGTATATGTGTGTAGTACAGTTATCTAAAATTTGCTCATTTATTAGCCAATATGGGTATTGATAAGTATCAGTTTAGAACATTGTGTAAGTACGGCCAGACCTGTAAACAACAAGCGATGAGTGCCCAAATACACAGCACGTACACCACAGAACGACAAGTCAGACACCCTCTAACCATGTCGCGCCACTGTCAAAAGGCGGTCAGTCCACCAGCTTTTCATTTGTATACGAGGTTACTCTTTCGTCGGATAAGCGCTATATCTTTAAAAATGTATGGGCATTTAATTCAATTACTGAGTTATCGTTCCTGCACACATAAGTCTGCCTCTTTTAATGGTAGATGGCGCCATGTCATCAAATACTAGCTATGAGGTGGTTATGGAGACAGATTATAGAACGGTCCTATATTGATTCGACCAACTATGATATCAGTCTCACGCAATGACTAACTGACAATATGTTTGTAGCTGTTGCAGAGCTTTGTCTCACATGTTTGGGCTTGTGATATGCCAACATCGTGATGTGACGTATCTCTGTTGAGCACGTGTTAAGCCGTCTGTTTAACCCACGCACTGGTACGATATCACACTTCGTATAGTATATATCGCCATTTAAGATCGCAAGCGTCACTGTTACAGCTACCTGGATCGTTCGGGTTGTTAGCCTGCTGTAGAAATATATTGCAGCTTGGTTAAGTATGAGGGAATTTGAACTGTAGTATCTACGGGTCAGTGTTCCTTTGTTTTTATCCAATTCGTTTGTAAGAGAAAGTTAAAAACTTCACATTGGGTTGCTATCACTTCCTTCTCGTTGCTAAGTGGAGTTGAACAATATAATCGGAACTCTAACCAAGTTCAAAGTAACCAAGTGCTCCCTTTTGCTCCCCTCTATATCTACTTATAATACAGTGTTCAGTCTGTCGTTGCTAAGTGGAGTTGAACAATATAATCGGAACTCTAACCAAGTTCAAAGTAACCAAGTGCTCCCTTTTTCTCCCCTCTATATCTACTTATGATACAGTGTTCAGTCTGTTTGCTCTCTGCGAGTACATAGTGGTGCTCACCAATATGGCATCCCACGCAAGCGCTATGTGGGATTTTAAGGGGATGTGGTTGACGTTCGGAAGCAGTTCGGCTCAGTATGGTAAACTGGTATAACTGACTTGGGGACGTACCGAGAGAGTACACATTTTAGCAGAGAAGCATTGACGACAGGGACGGACATGGTATCCTATTTGAGCTATCGTTTTTTTCGAGCGGTGTCGACCTGAACATGTATTCTCAGCTGCCCTCGAATTTTAGCGTAATGGCTGTATAGTGCATTTAGAGGATAGCCAAGCACGGAACGGTTTGATTCAGCCTGGCCAAGCATGATGTTCATACCGTGCGTATACGCCTATATAAGCTGATGATTTTTACAATAATGACAGTACTCTCCCTCGAGGAATTTGATTGACGAGTACGTACATACACTTGCGCATGTTAAGCGGTCTCTTGAGGGTTGTATATTATTGATAAATGGGAATACTTGCAGGTGAACACATATACCTTCAAATAGTTTCATAGTGAGTTAGGAAAGCTTAGTAATACAATAATAGGAAGAAAAAGATCTATGCAAGGTAGGCTCGCAAGAAGATTGGGAAGGAAAGAGAACCTTGAGAAAATACCACATTTGAGATATAACTATCCCGTGAGTAGGGGATGACCTTTTTGTGGAGTATTAGTGGCGAATGCTAAAAGAATATTAAAATTTCTGCAGTAAACATCACTGTAATCGGGGTTAACTGCAACTAGGGATTGCGTGACGAAATTAGATCACTGTTGTGTGGCAATGAGGGGCACCGGCAGTGATCTAATTTCGGGACACAATCCCTCGATTGACAGAGTATTGGCGTCTTGAGTAAATAGATCCTCAAAACGTTATTTACTCAAAGAAGATCGACATTCAGATTGCAGTTTTTTGGTCGATGATCGTTGCCGTCGGTGGTCATCTTGTAACAATGTTGATTTTTAGATTAACTCAATTTCTATCAGTACTAGAACTTGAGAATGTGGTAATCTCAAAAATGTTTTGAGGTCTATGTACTTAACATAACATATATGGAAATATATATATATATGTGTATTTATATATATTTATATATATGTATATATATATATATATGTAAATACATATTTATATATATATATATGTATATACATACATACATATTCTATATATATATACATACATATATATATATATATATATACATAAGTATATATATATATAGTATA